TATATATATATATATATCCTGGAGACTGCAAAATCTTTATAAAAGTTCAATGTTATACGTCTATGTGAGTGCTTAATTTCAAACTTGTAACTAAAGTAATGTGACAGCAGCAAAACAGCTTTTGAACTTGAAAACTGAAAGAAAGTTGATTAACTGGTCATTACCTCAACTTTCACTAAAAGAACTCTGTCAAACATTATCAGAGAAGAACTAAAAATTAAAGTAATTACAATAAGAAGTTAACAAATGAAAGCAATCTTTTTAGAAAGTATCACAGACGTTATGGGGAAGGTTCTATTTACAATTGAAATAAATAAGATGAATTTATATGCACTTACAAACAGGGACGGATCTAGAGGGGGAATGTGATTCATTTGAATCCCACTTGCCCTAAAATTGTATTATATATGTAAGATCAAATTATATATCTTTTTAATTATATATAGTAGATGTTGAATTCCGTTGGTGAGAATTTAGTCCTTGTCATTACTTACGGTGTAATTTTTATTACACGTTCAGATATTAGCCATTTACTCGTTTTGTTTTCCAGGTTATCTGCAGTTAATATTAATTAAGAACATTGAGTGATTTGTTTTTCATAATACCAGCGGCTAATATTAACTTTAACGAATAAATGGTTAATAATGCAATCCTGTCGTTTAGTGCTTCATGTAGGTTAAACAAAAAGATACCTTGTACACATACTGTCATTAAAAACAAATTCAAAAATGACCAAAAACGTTCTATCTCTTCTATCAGTTGCTCTAAATACCTCCCTCGTGGTTTTGATACTTGTCATATTTTTTCTGTGATAATGATGGGAGCAAACTATTGTTTGTAGCCTCAATTAAGTACCATACTAACATTTGTAATCAAATCAAAAAATTACTCCCGTTATCCCATTTTGTGTGATGATATTTGACTTGCAAGAAACATAAGAAAGATGAAACAAATTATAAATATTTGTGTGACTATAAATTATCTCATTAAGGATAAATTGAGAAATTTAAAATTAAACTATTTTTAAATATATTTTTTAACAGATTAAGAAAAAAGCCACAAAAAATGAAAACGGTTGCAAAACAAAATGGCATACTTAGTTTCGAAGTAATTGTAACTGTCAAACTCCACCGGAAGCCAAACAAGTCAGTTCAGCACTTCAATTTTCTTAACGTTTAATTATAAGTAACTGTACGTATTTTGAAGATTGATCTTGGAAATCAATTTTTAGGGTCTAGCTACTTATAAACACCAAAGAGAAAGTGGCATGACAAAAAAGAATATACTAGATTATACTTCTTGCGTCAAATTTATATGAAGGTGTTTGTTTCAAGAGTCAAACGAATTATTCTTTGACTGCAATATTTTTATATGCCTTTTAAATTATTAATTATTATGACTTATACTACTTTTTACGTAGATTCGAAAAATATAAATTTTATTTCGTAAAATTCAAAATTTCTATGTCCAAATGTACGGTCAAAATTAAATAGTTTGAATCTCGAAAAGCGAAAAATATCACATAAATTAGAACAAAGGGGGTATGAATTAGAAACTTAGAGTACAAGAGATCAACAAAGAGTTTGACATGTTAGAAACCATCTTAAAAAGATTTTTACTGTTGACTGAAAACACATATCGGATATTGAATTTTTTAGCTAAGCTTTTAAAAAATACTTATTTTAACAAGTGTTTTTGGTCTTTGATTTTTTTTTTGAAGACTAACAATCTTGTTTGACTAATTCATTTGAAAAATACTTTTGCTAACAGTGGAACAACAATTTGTGCTTGACCAAGGTTTTAAAAGCGTTTCCGGGAAAAGATATCTTTTTCAGCTTCTGAATAAGAGCTTCTGCCACTACTCAACAACTTTTATTCCTTTCCTAAAAATTTGACCAAACACCTCAACTCTCTAAAATAAATATATTTTAAATAAAACTAAGCACTTTTAACTTCCAAAATTTGAGCCAAACAAGCTATTAGAACTAACTTCTTGAAACATAAAGCTGAGCTTAATTAGTTCCTTTTAAGAAAATAAATTTATTGTTGATTAAGGGTTAGCAGAAGCCGCGAGCATAAGTTTTACCTAATCCTCTAGTAAATAATAAGGAGACGCAAGAATATCACATATTAATTGTAATGAAGTTTTACTTTTCCGACCTGTATATTAGTTAAGGATTTAACTTATACACTAACAATGAAACTTTTTTGTACGATCAGCGTAATTAATTAATATGTTATAGCAAGTATTTGTTTTTAAAACTGATTCACTTATTATGGACAACTGTAATTATCTTATAAATAACTGGATAGTGTAAAAGTGTTTTCATTATCAGTGCATACAAGTTAATCTCATTATCTTACAGACTAAATATGTGGTGTTAACATGGAAATAAGTAATTCTAACAATGTAAAACGTCGAAAAGTATCTATAAACTCCTGTCGCATTATTGCAATCTTTTACTACTCCTTTTTAATAGAAACCTTTGATGGATTTACAGAAATATTCTGAAAGACTAAATAATTTCTAAGACTTTGTAGGTTTAAAAAGCTCTGGCCTTATAGCATCGATCTTTTTCAAATTCTATCTAATGCTTAACAAGACCTCAATATTCCACAACTTCACTTTATATCATCTCTCTCCATCTCTCTTGTACTGTGTATTGGCAACAGACAAATATAAGAGAAGGAAAGATATTTTCTCCATTTTTTCCAGATTAAAAAGCCCACCATGTTGTACGAAAACATGTCATTGATGATGAAAATATGAAAGATGTTCAAATGATCAAAGAAATATTAGATCAGTTCTTATCTTCAATGCGGGGTAGAGCAATAATTTAAAGGTCACATGTTCAAACCTTGAAATAAAAGACAATGGAAGGAGATCATCAAGAAAGGGTATTACACAACAATTATGATTTACAAGTTTCCACCTTCTCAACTCCTCATGTTAATATCCATGAAATGGGATTTGTACATCACTTTGAAGATCATCAAAATCAAGTCATGAGTTTTTTAACTTCTCCTCTTTCACACTCTTCTCATATTCCTGATGGCGCCGCCAGCACCAGCGCGGCGCCACCAACCGCCACCTGTACTACCCTAGCTGCTGCCACCAATAACGGTAGCAGTTCGCTAGGGTTTTATCACAGTGAACTTGTCAATAGGTCTTCCTGGAATAACGACCAGGTAGGTTTTTTGGATCTAAACTATAAGCTTTGGTGGTAAAAAAAAGAATTCTTCTTAAATTGTGTTTTCTATTGCATTGGGGTTTTGGGAAAGGGGAGGGAAACAATGAAAATTGAACACACACGAAGTTTCTATTTCACAAATACTGGTACACCCACTCGTTTCAAATGTTATGCGCCTCTTGTCAACATTAATATTTACTAACATAGTAGATGTTATCAACTCCTTTAGGATTTTTGTTTTTTGTTTTTTGATTTTTGAATTTATTTCAAATGATATTTTTTGTTAGTATTTTCTTTGTTTAATTATGTGATCAACTTGATATAGGTTGAAACACTGGATCCCAAGGCAATTATTGACCAAAATTGCAGCGGAAATGCCAGCGATGGTAACAATTCGTGGTACTCTCTCTCTCTCTCTCTCTTTAGGAATTATTTAAAATGAAAGTAAAATCATCTTTCAATCTCTACGATCAAGAGAATTCCCAAAAGCAAAAAAAAATCTCTCTGAGAAGATGTCTTGTTTTTTCGGTTTAATTATCTAAGATCTGAAGTCACTAAAGAGCCCGTTTAAGGGGAAGAATCACTGGGATTCTTAGCGAACTCGATAAGAATAACTGTTTGAAAAAGCTGAAATCTGGTAGTAGGAAGCAAAAGCTTTTGTATTTTGTAGTGGTTCAGCCTTAATTATAATCTCAATCTTGGGCTCATTTTGATACCGTAATTATAAAAATATAATCCTGGTATAAAATTCGATATTGCTTTATACGTATTTTGTTTGATTGGATTTTTGTTCTCTGGTTAAGTAATATGATATGATTCTATACTGGAATCTTGTTATATATGTTGTCCACATCTAATATGAGATAAAAATCTAAGGATTAGCTATACTTGGATAAAACAAGTAAAATGATAAAATTGTCTGTTGTAAAGCCATTTTCTGAGGATTACACGTACTAAGAAGGTCAATATTAATATTGGAAACAAAAGTTTATCTTGTTTAAAACCAAACACATGTTTTAAGTATGCATTATACATATTTTATTTTAATACAATGAATCAAATAAATTATAAATATCAATTAAATAATTCGGATATTATTTATCCAAATATTATAATTTTGATAATATATTCCAGCATAATCTTGTTCACGAACCAAACAAGGACTAGCAGCTGAGCCAATGCCAGACAGTGTTGTTAAGGCACTCAATAGAACTAAACATAATCTCTCTCTCCGCGCGCTCAATAGAACTAAACCTACTCTCTCTCTCCGCGCGCTCAATAGAACTAAACCTACTCTCTCTCTCCGCGCGCGCTCAATAGAACTAAACCTACTCTCTCTGCGCGCGCACACTTTTTTTTCACTACACAGGAGAAACTTCTTTGTGCTTTATATCAAAATCTAAAGGTTGCGTCATGCTATGATCTCTTGTAATATACTATTTTGTGGTGTGTGATTTGTGATGTATTGCAGTCTAAGGACTAGTGCTAGATCCACTATGCATAATTCACAACTATATTTTTCAACATATGACTTATTTTGTTCTAGAATAAAATTTTCAAAATTAAGCTCACTCGAATATTAATTAGAACGTGTTTTCAAATTAAATATGTAGGTGGAGGAGTTCACCCTCAGAGAAAGGGAAGGTGAAAGTGAGAAGAAAGTTGAGAGAGCCAAGATTTTGTTTCCAAACTAGGAGTGATATTGATGTTCTTGATGATGGTTACAAATGGAGAAAATATGGTCAAAAAGTTGTCAAGAATAGCCTTCATCCAAGGTAATGACCTTTACTTCTTTACCCTAGCAAACATTGACTTTTTATTTTTCCACATTGGTAGTGGAAAAGAGTTTTTATAACTACAAGTATGTTATAGTCTGTTGGAACTAATTACCAAGATAATAAATCATACGACCTGTTACAACAGATTAATTTATATTGATATAGTATGAATAAATTGTTTACACTCTCAGCAAATCTAAATTCAATCCATAACTATTTTCTAAACTAAGTACAACATTCACCATACAAAGTCTTGATTATTTCTGAAAATAATTTGGCACTAACATCTCCGCACATTCTTATCCAAACAAATCGATAGGTTATTGCTATAGCGTTGCTAATTTTCTTTAAGGTTCTTCTGAAACTTTTTTTAATGCATAAGAGAAGAAGTTCGGAAAAGATAATATACTTATAAAAACAAATTTGTCATTAGTATATAAGAAATGGAGTATTATTGTTGCTAAAGAAATAACACATCCCCTACTTCCTTTAACGGTAAAGATCAATTCCCTTCACAAAATTGAACAGTTCCAATTAGCTTCTTATGAGGAATTAAACATTTATAGTTCTCTTCCATACTGGAAATTTTAGAAATATGTAATCACGAGTTCAATCAATCATACGGGATAATGAAAGACTATTAATTAGTAGCATATAATTTGACTTGTTGAGACTTGCAAATTTCACTTGAAATAACATACTACATCAGGGTATACTGAGACGTTGCATAATTACCCAAATGGAAATTTGAAATGCATACATTAAACTTGAGTCCCTCTTTGAAATAGCTAGCCAAATTTCCACCTAGTTATCCTTTGGGCAAACAAAGGGCTTTTTCTTTTTCCTTTTTATTCTTTTCTTCTTTTTTTCGGGAGGGGGGGGTGTGGTTAAGGGGGTGGGTCTCGTTTCTGCTCTCTCTAACAACTAAAACCAGCCACCAAAATAGTCGGTTTGAAAAATAAAAGTCAAACTAAATATTTTCTATTTAACCAAGATGTAGTCATGCATTCAAATGCAACACAAATTGTGCTTGTTGATCATCGCATAATCTCATCTAAAAGTTCAAGATGGTACATTTTTGTTTACTCAATTATATTTTCAATACGCACCGCGGTTGAATTCCATTTTTATAAGCTACGTAAAACTCCTAATACCAAGGACTTCTGTATATCCTAATACCGTGAATGTTCAAAGATTGCTTCCACATTGATAATAGGATTACCTCCATAAATAAGTATCATATCTTTAATTGAGTTTGCTAGATATTATCTACTCCTTAGGCTTTATTCTAACAATATTTTGATATATCAAGAATAAGCTTATGCTTATACTCCTTAACGTTTCAAAGGGTTGGATTTATTGCACGAAGCTTCGTATAAATTTCCGAGTAATAAATTCCCTTTAATTTTTCTGCTAAAAGATATAATTGCAAAAATAAGCTCTTTGTCGCTCTTCGTTTTGTTTTCTGACCCAATGGGTATAAGAGAGTACCAACCATGGAAAGATTATGAGTTTTAGTTTAAAATTGAATTGGTTTCAGTCCTAGCTCATTTAGTTACTTCAGCAACCTATGTAATGCGTATATGTCTGAAATTGACTTCTCTTTATGAGACATCTAATAGAACCCACTAACTAGGTAAGTAATTAATTAATTGAAGATATTAATTAGTATTTTTGAATTTGTGGTGTAAAATGAGACACATATATTTTGTGTGGCCATAAATCATTGCATAAAGGTAAATTGTTTCCAAATAAGGAAAGGAGTAATTCTTTTTGGCACGGACTAAAAAGAAAATAGATTCACATAAATTGAAACGGATTGAGTATTTAGTTGTTGCAGCACTGTGTACGTTTTTTGCCAACTTGTACGCATTTTCATTAATTTTATGGGGTACTTTTATTAGCAAAGATACCGTGTACTTTTATTAACATTATATTCCTGCTATTAGATTTCCTAAACAAATTAATATATTGCAGGAGTTATTACAGATGTACACATAGCAATTGTCGAGTAAAGAAGAGAGTTGAACGACTTTCAGAAGATTGTCGTATGGTAATAACAACCTATGAAGGTAGACACAACCATTATCCTTGTGATGATTCAAACTCTTCTGAAAATGATTGTTTCTCCTCTTTCTAGAGTACTACGTACTTATTATATATGTATCTCCATATATACGCATCTACCTTTGTGAGGAACAAGGGCGAAAGTAGATGTTAATTACTTGTGTATCAGATTCGGTCGAATTTAGTTGCTTTTGTTCCAACAATGTATTTGTATTAATAAGTTTATTAAATATGTACATACATCAAATCTAAAATATCGATGTTAGCACTTGAAGTTCTCGTTTTAAAATTTAAAACTCATAAAGTTGATAACTTGGCTGTGCGTCTGATGAGCAACGTGGTATTCTAGAAATGAACTACATTTATGTAGGTTTAATCACTTAGTAGCTAGCATTTATATTTATTGGTCCTATTAGTTGGTTCAGTCCAATTGTATAAAAGCTCACGAAAGCCGCATTATGTGTCGTGGTTTTATTCTCTCTACCGTCTACTTATATGTAATAACCTTGAGTTTATATTTTATTTCATGAGATCTCAAATTGTACGAATTATATTATTGATGATAAATGATAAATTGAATAACATTTACGTGGACAATGAGCATAGAGATTTCTTCTTTTTATCGCATGACGGTTAGTTTTGCCCATGTATGAAAATGTAATTAAATAATAGTGTGTGGTTGTATAGGGTAAAATTAATTTATATTAAATGTTCGAATGATTGCATGACATGTGGAACCGTAGTCAGACGAAAGATGAATCGAGTAAAAACCAAGACCGAGGACAACAACTTCGGTTGGTATCGGGTAGATCCCGAAGGGAACGTAGTCAACGAAAGCAAACGAATGTTTGTCACCGGATAGCATTTAATGAAGAATATTCTTCAGTATTAAATATGCAGTCATTGCAGAGAAATTTGGCATTCATGGCCTGCCGTTACATATTCATCAATGGCCCTCATTATTATCATTTAAGGGGGGTTTGATCCTAGGATCTTGTTTCATAGGTATAGCTATAAATAGTAATTCCAACAACCATTGTAAGGACATAGGAAATCTCTCACAAAACTTATGCTATACTTTACTCCAAAAAAATAATACAACTTTACTTTCTGTTTGGATATTGCCCATACTATTGTCCTAGGAAGCATTGCTCCCGGAGCCAGGCTTGCTATTTCCTTTGATTGTAACGCTAAGTTTTTCATTTAACTTGTTTATCATTTTGGATCAAATCATTTTGCTTGTCTATAAACCACGTAACAAATTCAACTGTACCTTTACGGAAAAATAGTTTGGCGCCCACCGTAGGGCTTAGACAGTTGAATAATTAAGTTGATCCTTGCATCTATCACTAACTTGTTTGATTCTTTGTTCATAGAAAAAATAAAAAAAAATGGCAGCTAACGATGTCAACATCACGCACAACATTGAGGCACACGAAAATCTGCCTCAACATGAGGATTCAATCAGCGATACCCGTAACGAGGGGGACGTAGCAACTCCAGTCCATGGCGGACAATATCCCTGACATGTGAGGGAAACGACGCCCGATGACACTGAGGACGAGCATGTTGCAAAAATAGTAAGGATCTTGAGAGAGCAACAAAAATCCATCATGGGCCATCTTTCAAGGCAGGACCAGTTCATGACGGAATTAAAGCATGTATTACCAGGCGCTTCCAACAACGCAAACGGAAGAGGCCCAACTACTCCCGGTGTTCCCGCAAATCAAGCGGCTCAAAGAGTTGATAATAACACCCCGAGGGGTAAGGTCGGCTTCAACAGAGCTAGGGGGACTGGTAGCGGATCCGGTAACGACAACGGCAACAATCCCTTCAAAATCGAACTCACGAGATTCATAAGAGAAATGAACGAACGGATGAATCAGAACGCGAAAGAGTTCCATGCTCGAATGGACCAAATTTTGGGTGCACCACCAGTGTTGAAGGGACCGGACTTGAAGAAGTTCACCTAATTGACGTTTAAACCGAGCGCAACACCAGAATTGATTCTGAAACGGTTCAAAATGTCGGACATACCGAAATATGATAGGACTTCTGACCCCCAGGACCATATCACAACTTATACGGCGGTAGTGAAAGGAAATGTCTTAGCCCAACATGAGATTGAGTCGGTTCTACTGAAGAAATTCGGAGAAAACCTCACGAAAGGGGCCTTGACATGGTAATCGCTTTTACCCGAACATTCAATTGATTCTTTTGAAATGCTCGCAGATTCTTTCATCAAGGCCCATGTCGGGGCCAGGAAGGTCCACGCCCTTAAGGTGGACATATTCAGAATTTCGCAATGAGAGTCTGAATTGCTGTGTGAGTTCGTGATAAGGTTCCAGAAATAAAGGATGATGTTACCGGCCGTGCCAGATGAATTGGAAGCTGAGGCATTCACTAAGGGTTTGAACTCGAGGAGCTCTAACGCCTCCCGGAAGTTGAAAGAAAGCATGCTCAAGTTCCTAGCAACCACATGGGCGGATATCCATAACCGTTATGAATCAAAGATAAGGATAGAGGATTATCAGCTCGGGTTCCCGACATCAACCAAGGGTCGGGATCGAGAAAAGAACAGTGATAAATTCAAAGATAATTTTAATGCAGATCGACGATCTTCTAAGGATCGATTCTTGTCGTACGAGAGAGCCGAAGGATGCGGCAGCAACGGGTTCCGGTCCGCCGATACGTTCGCCACCGATAGAAGAATTAACCGAGGCTGAAATAACAGGTCGTTGTAGGACAAAGAGGTATCGGGTTCCCGGGATTCCACTTATCCCAGGCTGTCAGAGTATAATTTCAAAGATAGCATCGTGGAGTTGGTATCAGCAATGAGGAATATTAAAGAGGCACGATTCCCGAAGCCAATCAGATCATCCTAACTTATGGTGCGAACATCATGAGACTCATGGCCACCGAACTAGGGACTGCAGGCATCTGCGCGAGGAGGTGGAAACACTGTTGAAGGATGGCCATCTCAGGGAGTTCTTGAGCAACCGGGCAAAGAACAATTATGCCACAGCCGAGACCACGTAGAACCCTCAAAGATAGGGGAAGACCCTCCTCGACTAACTATCAACATGATTTTCGGGGGGAATGAGACTAACAGTGTAACTTTCTCAGCGGCCAAGAAGACGAAGGTGTTAGTGACTCACAGCAAGAGACTCCGGGAAGTCACCAAAGATGACATCACCTTCACAAAAGAAGACGTCGATGGACTTATCCTATCGCACAACGATGCCCTGTTAATTTCTCTTAACGTTCTAGATTTCAAGATTAAACGTGTTTTGGTTGACCTAGGAAGTTCATCCAACATCATTCAATGGAGAGTGCTGGAAAAGCCAAATTAATTGGAAGTATCATTCTGGTGACAAAGCTCATCGCTGGGCTCAATCTGGCAAGTATGATAACCCAAGGGGAGATCTTGCTACCCACGAACGTCGAATGGGTCACGAAAAGCACCTTATTTGAAGTGGTGGAAGGAGACATGGGCTGCAACATAATTCTCGGTAGACCCCGGTTACATGAGATGAAGGCCGTACTATCAACTTATCATTAGGATATGACAGGTATCCCGCTAGAGGTGGCCATGTATAAACTAAGCTTGGACCCAAGCATCCCTCCGGTGAGGCGAAAAAAAAAGCCCAATAGCCGAGGTGAGAAACAGGTTTGTTAAGAAAGAGGTAACGTAATTACTTGACATCGATTTAATCCGGGAGGTAAAGTATCCCAACTGGCTAGCTAACGTAGTTGTAGTTCCAAAAAATAATAACAAATTTTGAATGTGCGTAGATCACAAAGACTTGAATAAGGCGAGCCCGAAAGACTTGTTACCACTGCCAAACATTGATCAAATGATTGATGCAACGGCTGGACACGAGTTGATGAGTTTTCTCAATGCCTATTTCAGGTACAATCAAATTAAGATGAACCCGGAGGATCAGGAAAGACTTCGTTCATAACGAACATTGACACATATTGTTACAACGTAATGCCCTTCGGGCTTAAAAATACCTGAGCCACTTATTGGAGGCTCGTGAACAAGATGTTAGAGAAACAAATAGGTAAAACAATGGAAGTCTACATAGATGACATGTTGCTCAAGTCTTTGAATGCATGTGGCCATTTAAAATACCTCCAGGAGACATTCGATATCCTGAGCAAGCATAATATGAAACTCAACCCCGAAAAATGCGCGTTCAGGGTTAGCTCTAGTAAGTTCTTGGGTTTCTTTGTTTCACAAAGGGGAATCGAGGTAAATCCCGATAAGATCAAAGCCATCGAGGACATCCTGCACCAGCTGACAAACGTGAAACAAGTCCAAAGGCTAACCAGGAGATTGTCCACTCTAAGCAAGTTCATTTCTCGATCTTCAGAAAAATATCATCACTTCTGAAGAAGAAGAACTTAGAATGGACTCCAGATTGCCAACAGGTCTTAAACGACCTGAAATATTATCTTTCAAGCCCTTCGCTACTGTCAAAATCGGGGGAAGACTAACAATTGCTGATATACTTGGCGGTCTCGAAAGTAGCAATAAGTGTCGTTCTAGTCCGGGAGGGCGAAGGTACGCAATCTCCTATCTATTATGTTAGCAAAATTTTGTCAGGATCGGAAACTCGTTATCCACACCTCGAAAAACTAGCCTTAGCTCTCGTAGTCGCTTATCGAAATCTTAGGCCTTATTTTCAATGTCATCCGATAGCCGTCGTGACAACCTTTCCCCTGCGAAATGTCCTTCACAAACCTGAGTTGTCGGGTCGGTTGGCCAAATGGGAAGTGGAAATTAGTGAATTTAATATTGAATATAAACCTAGGACTGCGATCAAATCACAAGTTTTGGCCGACTTTGTGGCCGATTTCAATCTCGGGTTACTGCCTTTGGCCGCAAAAGAAGCGATGACGGACATTAGGAGTTTGGACCTTGTTCACAAACGGGGCTTCCAATGTGAAAGGGTCCGGGCTCGGGGTGGTCCTAATCACGCCTTCGGGGGAAACCCTGAGATAGGCTATAAAAATTGTTCCGTTGACTAACAATGAAGCCGAGTATGAGGCTTTGATTGCAGGACTTGAGTTGTCCCGGGGACTTGTCTCTGAGGTCATCGAAATCAAATGTAATTCCCAACTGGTAGTAAACCAAGTATATGAAATTTTCGAGACAAAGGAGGAGCGCATGCAATAACACGTGATTAAAGTTCAAACTTTGCCTGCATGATTCAGGGAATGGTCAATCACACACATCCCGAGGGAAGAGAACAGATACGTTGCCAA